TTTTAATGAATTAATTTTTTTCTCTTTGCTCCTTTCTTTGAAAGTGCATGGGAAATGACAATGATGATTGATGGAAAATAAATGGCTTTTAAAGAGAAAGAGAAAGAGAAAGAGAGAGAGAGAGGAGATGAGGGGTGAGGGAAAGAGAGAGGGGAGACAGGGGCATACTTCGAGAAAGAGAGAGAAGGTTGTATTTGGCCAAAGGACATTTATTTTGGAAAAAATCTATAAAGCTAAAACGACTTTTAAAGAGAAACGGAGGGAGTATCAACTTACTCAAAAAGATAAACACTAAATTCAGTTACAATGCAAATATCGATCCTATATAAGTTAGGAATGATATTAATTGTGGCCGAAAATATTTACCAATAAGTTATTAAATGTATCTTTTGATTATTTATATGACAGTGCTATTTGGATCAAATAAATCCTTATTTGAGTCAGATCAATTGATCTAACAAGCATTATTGTTATTTAAATACAGAGAATTATGCATATTTTATGGATTTTTTTTCATCTTTCAGGAGCTTAGACAATAGGACTATTGATATTGTGAGAGCAAAGGCAAAGACAGAGACAGATTTGTAAGCATGTTGCATTATTTTATTTTATTTTTCCTTTTTTTAAATTCTTGGGCCTGTTTAATATAAAATTTAAATACAGTTTTTTGCTTTTGAAAACAAAACATACAACAAATCTTATGAAAGTAAGTTTGGTTAAGTAGAATTGTTTTTAAAAACAGTTTTCGAATACAATCCTAAAAGCTAGTGTAAAATTTAAAAAAATATTAAAAACTGTTTTCACAGTTTTCTATAACGTTTAATCTAAAAACAATTTTTAAACTTTATACCCGACACATTTTCACATAGTAAAAATATTAAAATATAACTCAAAATTTTGAATGGTATTTCAAGTTTTGAAAATTATTTTTGAATCACAAATCAAATAAACCAGTAATTAAATTTATAATGCTTCAAATATTAATTGGAGAGTTGTTTTCTCATAACCGGTGGTATCTCTATACTTAAGTATTCTGCTATTAGAATAATATAGAAAAAAATCTTTGGAAAAACCATAATTTTTAAGACAATCATCATAAACCTTAAGAATCGTTTGCCATAAAAATTTTCAAAACAACTCTACTACAGGAAAATCTTTGTTTATTTTCAAAGTAAAAGACTTTACTTATAATTAAAGAAAATTTTCAAGAAGGTCAATGAAATATGGAATGTATTGAAGAGTATTCTTAAATAAAATTTCATCATGTTTTCTAGGAGTTCCATATCGACGATGAGGAAAGCTTTTTGTGGAGACAAACGCCGCAAATGTATGTTTAATTGTTCAAGCATTAATTTAAGTGGATTAATATTGAGGAAAAATTATTTAATTTCTGCTCACATAATGACCTGCAGACGATTCCCTTCGTATAAACTGTGGTGGTAGTATTACAAGAGTACCTGGAGCTGAGGATGAATATGAAGCTGATAATCACACGTCCAACTTTTTTGTAAGTTCCAACCATCGCTGGGCTTATGTTTGCACTGGAGAATTCATGTTTGCAGGTGCCAGTCATAGAGACTACATAAAGAAAGCTTCATGTGGACTTTCGCCTTCTGAGGAAACTATACATGAAACTGCCCGCCTTTGCCCTCAGTCTCTAACATACTATGTCTTCTGTTTACAAAAGGGCGACTACAATGTCACACTTCACTTTTCTGAAATCGATTTTTTGAAAAGGAAAAATAAGAGCGACTTGGGGAAACGCATATTCGATATTTACATTCAGGTAATCATTGTGTGCCAACATTAGTAAGTTTTTCAAAAAATATTGCCACATTTATGATAGAGAATGACTCCATTTTTTACGAGTTCAGAATTTTATAATTATAGGCATCTGCGTTAACCAATTTACATTTATATATAAACATGGTCTCATAAGAAATTCTTGATGGATAGGGGGAGATGAAGCGAAAGGATTTCAGCACTACAAATTTGACGGCTTCAAACATATCAATCATAGATCTAAAGACAACTGTAACTGAGGATACTCTACTTACCATCCATTTTTTCTGGGCTGGCAAAGGGTCTATATACGTCCAAAAAAATCTTAACGGACCTCTCATTTCTGCCATTATTGTAACTCGTGGTAAAAGAAGAAGTTCCATTTTTCTTTTCTTATTATATGTTAAAACACATTCATACTCCAATATTCATTTACAATACAATCAATTTCAATATAAAATCTTCATGGAATATATGCTGAAGTAAACGACAAACCTCCAGCCATAGCAATTGTTCTTTGATCTTCTTCCTCCTTTATGAATTACAGGATCTTCCACTGACTGCAATTTTGGGTGATGGTTTTTGGGAATCAATATAAAATTGCGTCTAATGGGGACCTGTAAAGTCTCCTTTATATGCAGTTGTCTTTCCATCAAAGACAGCTGCTCAAGAGAAGAGACACGACTTTTACACTTTTACATTAAAATCCACATCAGTCCACATCAGCATAAAAGTGTAGGATCTTAATNATATCATAAAATCTCCCTGTGGGTAAAGACATTACATATTATGATTCATTATCCTTTAATGATGAAACTAGAAATTATTAATATTTCATAATACCTGTGGGCTAATTAAGAAATAAGAATAATTTCTATTTCATCCCTAATTAATCATAAAAATATAACATTCCCTGTGGGTAAAATGATTATATTAATATGATTAACTACAAACGATGTTATTAACCTTAATATGATCACAACTAATATTTCTTAATGCATATATTTATCATAATTTAGATGCTGCGGTTACTCTAAATTAATCAAAAATATATATGATCATAAAACATCAAATAATTTATAACATGAATTGTATAGCATAACACAAATCAATACAAGAATAATACATTATTTATGCATAACAAAGTAATATATAACATAAAAAACTATCATACAAGCTGTCACCAATTTCCACGCGCCACCGTGGCTATGGACGCGCCCCCACGCGCCGCCAGAATGCAGTACACATCTCACGCGCCATCACGCGCCTCCACGGTCTTTTCACGTGCCCGCACGCGCTTACACGCGCCCAAACACACACCCTCACGCGCCTCACGCAAGCAAAAGACCGTCACGCGCCTGCACGCATCGGACCTTGACCAGGGTCGGGTTGACCCATTTGACCGGGTCGGTTGACCCGGTTCGTTAACCGGTCTGGACCGTTTGACCGGTTCAGTGACTGGTTTGACCCGTTGACCGGTCTTTTGCATCCAGAACTCCGTTTTTGACAAATAATATACCGTTGGAAAGCTTTTTCAACAAGGATTCCAATGACATCAAAATCGAAAACAAATTCTATTTATAATAAAAGTTATGCTTGATTTACAGTACGGGTTTTAATGGAAAAAATCCTAATTTTATGCAATATTTTTCAGATTTGCAACAAACAACTTCATGCTAGGCAGAGATTCATGTAAAGCTCTGATACCAAATGTTAAAACACATTCATACTCCAATATTCATTTACAATACAATCAATTTCAGTATAAAATTTTCATGGAATATATGCGGAAGTAAACGACAAACCTCCAGCCATAGCAATTGTTCTTTGATCTTCTTCCTCCTTTATGAATTACAGGATCTTCCACTGACTGCAATTTTGGGTGATGGTTTTTGGGAATCAATATAAAATTGCGTCTAATGGGGACCTGTAAAGTCTCCTTTATATGCAGTTGTCTTTCCATCAAAGACAACTGCTCAAGAGAAGAGACACGACTTTTACACTTTTACATTAAAATCCACATCAGTCCACATCAGCATAAAAGTGTAGGATCTTAATAAAATTATATTAAAAGTGTAGGACCATAATGTAAAAAGTAAAGTCTAACATTATAATCTCAATATGTGATCCTAGTTGAACTATATTTTATATATATTAGCTAACGACGCTTCTCCTGTTGCAATTTACCATTGTGTATCCAGTCCGAGGAGAAAGTGGCCTCTCTACTAGCAAGATAATAGGAATTGTAATTGGCTCTGTATTAGCTGCCTGTCTTTTATTATTGGCTTTCATGTGGAGAATTGGATGGATAGGAGACAGAGAGTTGCGCGGTGAGATATATATATATATATATATATATTATATAATCTCTCTCTTATTCAGAGTTACTTTCTACAAATTATGTCTCGATGTTGATGACTAAAAGCTGTTCTTTCATTTTAGTGACTGTCCGTAAACTTCGGGACAAGTGGTATACCCTTAAACAAGTTAAAGATGCAACTCGAAATTTCAGCCCTAGGAATGAGACTGGTCAGGGGCGATTTGGGATAGTATACAGGTTAATTATATATGTGTATTTGAGTTCTTCACTTATATATGTACATGCAACATTTGTTTAGGGAATAATTATCTTTTTTATATATAGGCTGAACTGCCAGATCAAACGTAGCAGTCAAGAAGCTTTCTCTTCAATCAAACCTGATCAATTGGGAACAGAAGTTTATGCCTCGAAAAACTTGAACATGATAATCTGTCGAACTTTTGGATGCCTATTCTAAAAAAGACTTGAACTTGCTGTATACAATACATGGAAAGAGGCTCACTTGAAAAAGCCTGTTGGTAAGTTTTTCTTTCCTCATAAGCTCGATAAAGTTTTTTGCTACAAGTTTCTTTAACCATGAGAATAATATGTATGCAGATGATCAAGATTCCAATACACTGCAACTTGATTGGCACAAATGGTTACATACTGCCTCGGAATAGCGAAGGGTTTGAAATATCCACATGAGAAATCCAAATCACCAAATTTTCACGAAATATGAAGCCAGTAATGTTCTGCTGATGGAAATCTTAACGCTAAGGTATCAGACTTAGGATTGGCAAAGCTTTATGACGAGAAAATCCATACATCATCCAAGAAATAGGGACAGTGTAATGAGGAATTAGCAAACAATTTTGTTCATGCTGTCATCATATAAATGATAACTTCTTTCTTCCAGCGTATATATGGCACCAGAGTATGCAATGCGGAAAGCCATAACAGATAAAGTTGATGTTTATAGTTATGGAGTAGTTGTGCTTGAAATAGTTAGCAGGAGAATAATGCAAAGTATACCAAACAAGAACGGTTTTTCTGCTCGATAGGTAAGCAAGTCTTTCTCCAAGTGCAGACATTAAAACGACTTTGCTTTAAACTAATAATTCCATTAACTTTTTACAAATTTGCGGCTTGTCTTTTACAAGCAAAGGGGAGGCTTATGGATTGGTGGATAAAAAATTGTCTACATACTGGCAGCAAGCCCATGATATCCTACACTTGGCGATGATGTGCGTTGATCAGTCACCAGCTGTAAGGCCTACAATGTCTGAAGTTGGTAGTGTACTAGAAGGTGAAAAAAACATTCAGCAGATTTCTAAAGCCGCACTCTCCTCAGCCTGATTCATGTGAATGAATTCTCAGCCATGAACTAGCTTCCTTTGTTTTGCTGTAATTTTAAGAGCTTGTTTTTTATTCAGTGTCTCTGAATCGAACGTCATTGTCATTGTATTCGGTTGAATAAATTAGTAAAAGCTCACGTTTATCAAATTAATTAGAACAAATCCTAAATCACAAAGTTGATTCGATCGGCTACTTATTAAATGGAGAAGAATCTCCTCTAAGATCAAAAATTAGAAGTATAAAACAGGAACTACTCATTGTCATTGTCATGTGATTCGGTTGAATAAATTAGTAAAAGTTCCGTTCAAATCATAAATTAGAACAAATCCTGAAATGATAAACTTGATTCAAACGGCTACTTAATTAAATGGAAACAGGAAAAACTAGAAAGATAAAATAAAAGAGTGGGCTATTGACGCCTCACCAATGGATTAGAAACCTCAAGACACCACATTTCAAAGTTTTAACATTAAATCTTTTTTCTTGTGGCACCGCTTGAGTTCATAAATTCCCTTTTATCGTTTTTTATTTTTTTTTAATATTTTGAAAAGGTTAACATGTCATTACCTTAGATAAAATTATAAATAACTCAATTGAAAGTTCATGAAAAATTAAAGCTAAAAAAAACTTTATAAACAATCTAAGAAGTAGGAACATAATACAATTAAACAATACGAAAATATATATAAATTAAAATAGCTACCAATACTTTGAAGAAAAAATAATAATGAATTTATATATGTAAAAGATTAAAAATTTATAATTTTGTATTGCTTGTATCTTTAACCCATTAGTGAAGTGTCAATAGGTCCACTCAAAGATCAATCCAAAACATGAAGCCCACTTTCCTTACCAACAAAAGCCCATATCTCAAATGGGCCTAACTAACAAGCCCAAATAGAAAAATACATAACTCAGTCTTGGTATGAACTTATGGCTGTGGATTGCCACGGTGCCACCTGTCTCATATCAGCCATTTCTCGTGGGCTCCTTTCTTTTGCCTCTCTTTTCTTGCCACCAAAACAAAGTTACTTTTTTACGCAAAAAGTCCACCAGATTTAATGACCAACAGTTATCGTCGGTTGCTAATTAAGGCCTTAAATGACTTGTCGTTTTATTGGTCCACTAGGAAGTTGAGACAGATTAAGGTCACATGTCAGCATAATTATTAGTAATCTTGCTAATAATTGAAGTGTCTAGAACAGTCGTGTAACACTTGGCAAAAGAATATAAGAGAGACGTGTGTGGGGTGTGGACTAGGTAAAAGCAATAGAAGAAGGAGGCAATAATGCAAAAAATGGGCTCATGAAAGCTATGACAGTGCATTTTATTTTGAGTGGTGGTGTTTTTATTAATTTATAAATTTTATTATAGAGATGTTTAGTTAAATAAAAAAATATAGGGGGTTAAAAATAATCTAAATATTTCATCAATGACTAAACAATTATCAGAATAAATTCCATTGAGAGCAAGAAAGTTGGCTAACTTCGTAATGCTATATATATATATCCATGACACTTCCTCCTCCAAAGTTGCAGCAAATCTTTTGTGTAGCAAAGATAATCCATGCCAAAATATCGAGATTGGTGATATTAACTTGGTGTACAAGGGATCTAAACCGAGTCCAACAACATCTTTCTGTTCAAACGTTAAAGCGATCATCAAAGGAAAACATATCCCAGCCATTTGCCTCTAGACTTTCTGGGCTCCTTGTCAATATATGTTTTTTTTGTCATATTTTTTTCTGAAAGCATTATTTAAAATGAGATTAGCTAAAAAGGGTTAAAAAATATATTTGAAGAGTTGCATCGCTTCTTTTCTTTCTAATGGAAGACTTCTTGTTGAATATTACTGGTTTATGGTTTCTTCATAACTAATTAAGAAGACCATGCAATTCTTAATAATAATATTAAGGATATTAGTGTGACGAACATGGGCTTTCCTAACCCAAGGCTTGTCCTGAGGTAAGAATGATATTGTGTATTGTTGTTCTTAGTCTTGTTTAAGTTTTTTTAATCTTATCCTAGGGCATGTCCTATGGTATGATATCTTTGTCTTTGTCTTGGTGTTCCTTTGTTTGCTCCTCTCCTCTTATCTCCTATCCTTCGTGTGCTTAAAATAACCAAATAAAAGAAGATTAGGCTCTAAATCTATTAGACTTGTGTTTTTATTCCTATCCCAGGGTCTGTCCTGAGGTAGGATGGTCCCTTTTTTATGGTCTCTCCATACATTTTATCTCTTTTTTAATGATACTACTTACCCAAAAAAAAAAAAAAAAGGTAGACCTAAAAGTACCTCAAGCATGCACCCAAGAGAAGCAAATTATTAAAGTAGGTACATGTTTGTCAATGGAAACAACCTAAGTTTTTTAGTAAAAAAAGAAAATGAGAAACAATATGGCGAATCTAGCTAATTAATAGATAGATATTATAAACTCTTAATAGAATGAACATCAAATTATTGGTTGCACCAAGCTTCAATCTACTGTGAAATAGTAATATAACAATTGGTTCTGTTCAACAGTGAAATCAACTATCACGATAATTTTCATTGGGGAAAAGTAAAAATAAAGAGCGAAATTTCTTCGGTCAGAATTGGAACATCTAGCCATCCAAAGCTATCTCACTGAATAAAGAATATAATATGTCGCTTTAATCTCTTCTTAAGTGATGCTGATGCCCATTTTATCTCTAGACACAGGGAACAAAGCAGCCAGCAACTTCTTCACCTTTGATGGTTATCATGATCTATTAAGCAAGAATATTATATTTAATCTATTCCTTTTTCTTTTATTATCTTTAAGATTTTATTCTTTTTTTAATATATGCTCTGGTCTCGTCTCTTTCTTTCAGAATGGCGTATTACTTAATCTTCTGCCAGTGCATTCTTACATAGACTATAAATTAAGACGTGTGGAAGAGCACATATATGATCAGTTTGCTATAACTTTAAAAAATGGGTGAACTTTTTCTAAGTTTCCTTTCTAAGCTCATTGCCTTATTTAGCTTTATTCTTCTTTTTCAAAGTTGTTGGTCTCTAAATTTTCTAGCTTTGAAGGTTATTATAACAAAAATGAAAAATTAAAATCTATAGCATAATCATATACTTTAGATTTGGATGAAGAAGAAATATTACCTAAGATATTTGTATGAAGGTCACTACTTTGGAACAATAGGATGGATCCTATGGTGTGTAAACAATATATGTTGGGCGATTAAGATGATACTCTTAAATGTGTTAAATAATGGGAAATGATGGAACTGTCTGGTAATATGGTACTAGATCGTTTATTTGTAATCTGAGGTGAGAAGGAAAGTGAGGAAATTAAATGAAGCTTAAAAAGAGACTCTTGAGTCGAAGTGGTAACAAAGGAGAAAGGCACGAGGCAATTACGGGGTTAAAATAGCATGCAAATCTGTTTGTTTTTGTGGGGTTTGGTTTGGTGTTTGAAATTGTCGATAATTATATTTTATTTAAATCGAAATTATATCTCACGTGTAAAAAAACACTAATACTTATTTTATTTGTCTTTCATATAGAATACCCCGATAAATTTAACTCATATTTAAGTATGAAAAAGGAAAATTTATAATGAGAATTCTACTTTGCAACTTCATATAGCCAAAATTACCCTTAATTTAATAGAAATTCAATTTCATCAACTATATCAGGGACCATAACGTTACTAAAAAATTCTACCAGACTCCCATGTTATTTATACCAAACCTTAGAGAAGAACCTGTAATTTAGCCTCCAAACAAGCTCTAGATTTCAAGGAAAAACGTGGCTCCAAATCATCCGCTTCACACCCGCGAAACATTTTATATATTTTGAAAAAAAAAAAAAGGCGCCTTTAACCTCTACTTTCTTTTCACAAAGGGATGGAGAGCGAGTGATGGAAAATTCAAACCATCTCGGTTCTCAGGTATGAACATTTGGCTTTCCATGATTTTCAACAAGTAGTTGTCTTTGTAGATCTTAATTTCTGTTTGGTAACCCAGAAAACACAGCACTTGCATTCAGATCTGCTTTTTTTTTTCTTTTCATCGATGAACAATTTTCTCATTTTTGTTACATGTTCTTGTTCCAGATTATTGATTCTGCGTGTTCTCTATCACTTCCTTCTGGTTTGTAATTTTTCGTTCAATCTTTTTATTTCGGATTTAATTTAATTAAACAAATGTTGATTTCAAGATTTGTTAATTAATACTTTTTGGGATTATTTTAGAGCCACCCGATGTTGGAAACTGGTTTGGGAGCTATACGTATGAACCTCCTCTATTGAGCACAAGTGATTGTTTCGGAGATTCGGATCTTAAAATTGTTGAAGAGTTTGTTATCCAAGAAAGCATCAAAGTAAAAGAAAAAAATCGTGGTGAATTTAAGAAAACTAGAAGCAATGAAGAATTGGGTTTTGTTGTTAAAGAACCAAACTCAACTGTGTTTACCGATAAGCGAAAGCAACAGTCTCCAAGCAAGGTACAATGCTGTTATTGTAAGCAATTTGTTTCATTTAAGGCAACATAAGCTGAAGAGTTTCCTGTATCTAACTGGTTTTTTTATTATTATTTTAACAGATTCTGGATTCTTCGTACACACTTTCGCAAGTTTCTGGTTTGTATGACTTGCTGATATTTATTTAGGACTTTTTCAAATTTTAAATGATTGCAACAAAATGGTCACTTTTGTTTATGATTCTTGTTGTGTCAGAGCCTCCTGAAATTGGAAACTGGTTTTCAAGCTATGTATATGAGTCTTTTGTGTTGGATACAAATGATGATGTTAAAAATTCGATTACTCAAGAAACTGATTGTGAGAAAGAAGGGTCGTTTGTTATGGGAGAGAGCCAAAGTGAACAAGAGAATATGGCTACATTTATAGAAACCAGAAGTTGTCATGGAATGGATGTTGGCAAGGAGATAGGATCAAATGGGTTTGTCAAGAGTAATGATTGTTTTGGAGATGATAAACACCATGGCAATGACAAGGTAATCTTTATTGATATTTCTTTTTCCTTTTTAGTAATTTTTTATCTGCTGTACACAAGAACTGAAGGCATACTACATTATTTTTTATGAAGTGATTACTCAACCAAAGCAAAGCAAATTATTGCAAAGGACTTAGTTAATTTCTCATGTCTAACACATTGTTGTTGCTGCAGATGTCGTGTTCTCTGGACTCACACTCTATCTTTACAGGTTAGTAACATTGCTTCTGGAAATCAATTAGGCACAAAGTCCTATTAACTGTTTGGCTGTTCTAAAATTTGCAAAAAGAAATGATAACTTGAAATTTAGCCTTTTGTTTTTCCTTTAACATTTCTCTGGAGACAGACAGAAAAAGAAAATTATATGTGAGAAAGAAAATCCTAACTTCTTGTATTTTTTGTTCTGTTAGAACCTCCGGATTTAAAAAACTGGTTTTCAAACTATGTATATGAATCTCCTGTATTGAGTACAAGTGATGAAGTTGAAGATTCTCTTGATTTGGAAAGAGGGCCAGAGATAGATGAACTAGTTGCTGCAGATAGCGATGTAGAGAATGAAGAGAAATTGGTGACCATTAGAAAAGTTAAAAATAGAGGTGGAGAGGGGGTTGTCAAGAAAGCGCATTCAAATGGATTGGTAAAACATAACCCTTCTTATGAAGTTGTTGAGCAAGAAAACGATTCTATAATTAAGGTATTCTTTCTATATCTGTCTCCTGTTACTTTCTTCTTCTGCCTATGAAAAATTAGACAGTTCTTGATTTGAATGCATTTCAGTAAGTATAGTATATTGGTTTCAAGGTAAGAATCAGATGGTTATAATTAACTGTTTTTAAAGTGGATAATTAAAATTGTTCTTAAAAGGGAAGAGTTAATAACATTTTTGCTAAATTAAACACTGAAAGCCTAAATAGCTAATTATTGGGGATAAATTGTTGAGTTAGATACTTAAAAGAGAATTTATTATTAAGTGATATCTAGCGGGGGAAACTGAATTGACTCTATTTTTCACTTTCCTTTTGGGGCATTGCAGGAAATTGGTAGGACTGGAGGGAAGGAGGCCCTGTCTAAGAAATTTGAAAAAAGCAATGGCATTATTCCATCTAATGGTGTTGAACAATTAAGCTTTAATGATGAAGGTTCCATTTGTAAACCGGTGCAAGAACTTTCCCCATATGCCTGTTCTGTGTCATTGAATATCATCAGAAGTTCAAGCACTACCAGAAAGAAATCCCCAACAAAGTTTTATAATAGAACTGACTTCACAGAGGAGGGCTTGGAAGCTAATACCCAAATCAAAGATGTCAATCTTTTATCAACTACATGTAAACCAGAGATATCTCCAGTTAGTGGAGGTTCATTACGAAAACAAACTCATGGAAGCAATGACAAAGAAAATGGTTTTGCTGCGACAAGGAAGAATGGATATATAAGAACAGAAAATGAAGGTTTTTTGAGTAGGCCGCGAGGGATTTTAGTAGGGTGTCCAAAGAATAAGGGGACAGTTTCTTGTTTAGCTGGTGAAAAGAATGATGTTACTAAAAGAAAGGCCTTGATGGAAACTACCAATTTTCAACATTCTGATGCTTTGGAGATAGCCGGGAAATGGCGATGTCCGCAAAAGAGTAAGCCAAATCGTGGTCCTCCTGTGAAACAGCTTCGACTTGAACGATGGTTTCATAGAGCGTAAAAAGTTTAGTTAGAAGAAAACTTCGGAAACGGCCTAAGCCATTAATAAGTGAATTCCGATTTAGTTAGTGTAACAGGAATGGGATTATTTGAAGTGTCATGTTGTCAAAAAATTGTGAAGTACTTTGTAATTTTATTACCTTTAATTGAATTACGAATAAGTAGTAGCTTTTTGGAGGGAAAAGGAAAACACTTTGGTCCTTCCATGAGGTTTCATAAACAACAATAACAATTATCTCCCGTCATATTTGAAAGCATAAACTTTCCTATTCTTTTAGAAAATAACAATTACCTCCTTTGGTATTTTATTAATACATAATAAAATAAAATGTAATTGCAGATGGGCAATATAGTCTTTTTCAAAAGATTGAAGAACAAAAATACCGTATACACACTTGTCACGTGTTACATCATTGTTGTTTGATCCTTGTTTTAAAAACCGGACGGACCGGCGACTGGACGGTTGGACCGTGAACGGTAGTTCTCCGGTCCGGTTTAGGTCTCAGGGGGGTTTTTGAAATATTTTAAAATTATGAGGGTTACTTTGTAATTTTATAGGGGTATTTTGAAGATATATCAAAAGTTTAGGGATTAATTGGTAATTTTATTGGGGTATTTTTGGAATAAATAAAAATTTTAGGGACCAATTTAAACTTTTTGGAGAATTTTTGTAATATATTAAGATTTAAGGAGTTAATATGTAATTTTTAAAATAAATATTGCTGACGTCACGGTCCAACCGACCGGTCAACCGGTTGGACCGATTGAACCGTGACTCGGACAGCAAAACGGTTTGCCCTCCGGTCACGTGTTACATCCATTGTTGTTTCATCATAATTGACATTTTCAAAGGTCTCGCACATTGCTTAAGTGATGGTGAGTCGAGGCATATCGTTGGCATCATCATATTCATTATCAATTGATATGTTTTTAATGGTGCATTTTTTCTTTTTTTACAACTGATCTTTCTATCATGTTCTTGGACCAATTCTAATACTTAATTATTTTAATAATTTAAAATATAGTTATGTTTTTAATTAAACAAAAAAATGGGTTTGAACAATGTATTATAACACCTATATTTGGGAGGCAAATGTTAATACTCTACTAATTCATGTTAATCTAAGTGCAAGATGATAATTTTATTAAGTCATACTTTTTATTGTTAATTAACTGAAACCGGATGTGCTGGTTATTATATATTCAAATATGTAAAGGGTAGTTGGGTAATTTTAGAGCATCCACTTGACTTATGCTATATTGCTATGACAATACATGTTTAAAGAGAAGAAAAAAAAGCTTTGTTAATATAAGTTTTAAAAATCTTTGAAGGGTAAGATAATAATTATTTATTAATTATTAATTACCATATAATTCAACTTTATATGGAGACATATTGGGATGCTTGTACACATTTATTATGGCTAACAAGAGTAATACTACACTTACAAAGTTTTCGTACAAAAAATATATGTACAAAATGATGTGTCATATCATGATTAGGACAATGAATTTGACTTTAATTAAAAAGTTGACAATACAAATTCACTCTCTCAATCATAATATAACACATCACTTTGAATACATATCTTTGTATAAAGACTTTGTAAGTATAGTATTATTTATAATATTTATCCTTATTTAGTAATATATTTTGTAGTTACCTAGAAAAACCCAGTAATAGATTTGTTTAAATAAAATTTAGTAACATGCAATTAATGAAACTAATATTGCTTTATGGTAAATTAATTGTGTTCGGTTGGATTTATTTATAGACAAAAATAATTAATATTTACTTGTGTATTCTTGTGTTTAATTACAAGTCACTCAATAACCAATAATAGATTTGTTTAACTAAATCTGGTGACATGCAATTACGAAACCAAATTGCTTTGTGAAAGAATATTGCTCCTTTGGTTGAATTTACCTACGGTTAAAAAAAGCCTTTTTAAATGTTAAAAAATATATTTTCACCCCCCTCAAACAAAAACAAATGACAAGTTACCCCCACACCACCAACTCTGGAATTGGCTACTTAGATCCTTTACAATGAGTTTCAACTATTGATTTGGATGAAAGATCATAGTTGACCGATGGAAGACAAACAACCCTTGTAATGTTCTTTGTTAAAAAAAAAAAAAAAAAAAAAAAAGGAATATATTAAAATATGCAAAATTGAAAAATAAATAAATTGAAGGGACCTACTGGACTAGCCTTTAGCCTTAACTAGCATCAACTAGCCTGCCAATTGGTCATCGATGGCCAAGCCTATGGTTTGACATTGGACAATCAACGGCTAGGCTTATGGCTCGGTCGTCAATTGTTTTAATTTTTGGTTAGTTTTTTAATTTTGGATTTTTAAATATTTTTTAATCCTCTAAAGGGATTTTTTCAACTTTTAATTGTTTTTAATTTTTAATTTTTGTGCATTATTTATTTTTAATTTTTATCATTATTTTGATTTTCTAATATAAATTATTGAAATAATTAAAAAAAATTTGCAACGAGTACTTTTAGAATCTTATTTTATTTAATTACAAGTTAAAGAAAATAAAAATACAATGTTTTTTTATGAAACAATAAAATAACTATTTTACCCTTCTCTCCATCCACTTTAACGGTAGAAATTAATGGTAAGGGGTGGAAGTGGTTAATCCCCCGAGTTCGTGGGGTACCTTTGAGTTGTTTGTGTTTGAGTGGCTGTAAGGGTATTAACCCTTTTGAAAAATAACAATTACCGCCTCTGGTTCAATTTATTAACAATAAAAAGTTTTTGACTTGATAAAATTATCATCTTGCCCTTATATTAACATAAATTAATAGGGTATTAAACATTTGCCCCTAAATGTATTTTGTACTACATTATTCAATTACCGCATCCTTTTGTTTGTAATAAACATAAACATATTTTTAATGAATGTTAGAATAAATAACAAAATAATTATATAATAATAAAATTGTGACGAAGTGTTTAGTTGGCGATAACGGGGGATTAATTAGGTAATGTCGTCTTATATTACTTAATCTACGTTGGTTGTTAAGTAATATAAGATTTTGGTAATCTTTTAAAACCAATAGTAATTACTGTTGGTAATATAGGAGATAATCTGATTACATCTATTTTCTTAGGTATTTTAAGATTTCTTGGTAATTTTAATTTTATTATAATTTTATTCCTTAGGGGGTGTTTGGATTATATAATGTTTAATTATAGGGGGATGTTATATAAATGAAAAAATAGATTACTTTGAAGATTATTGGAAGTGTTTAGGAAATGTGTTTGGTTGGTTCGAATAAATTGGTAAGTAATATGTTTGTTTGGGAGGATAAATGAGTGGGAATGCTATATAGACTACTAAATTGCTCTTTTTTTTAAATATTAATATAATATTATTTTTTGAATAATTTTTTAACCCCTACATTTGAAATTTTGCTAAAACACCCCAGCCATATAAAACTTTAATTTGTAGCAAAATACCCCCACCAACCCCAAGCCACTACCGACAGCCAGCCACCATCGCTGACAGCCCTGGCAGTCGACTGAATAGCGCACGACTGGCTGTATATGGTCTGTCGTGCATTGGCAAAGCCATTTTCGACCATGTATCACAGATCCATGGCCGTGAAAAGGCCAAATCTTTGGCCGTGAAACAGCCATAGAAACGGCTAGATTTGGCCGTTTTCGGCCATGGATCACATGACCGGTCAGATCCCATCGGTCGTACGCCATTACGATGACTGTCGCTGGCGGCTGGCAGTGGTGGCCGACGGTGGTTTTGGGTGGCTGGGGGTATTTTGTTAACTTTTAAACTTTTTTATGGCTAGGGTGTTTTAGCTAATTTCTCAAATGTAGGGGGGCTATGAATTGTTATTTGGTAGACATTTGAGGACAATTGTGTCCAAAATGGTATTTAATTAAGGATAAAATAAGTATAAAAATCAGATTACTTGGTAATCTTTTAATAACAACCATCTTTTAATAACAACCAATGAGGAGGGTATCTAATTACCCTCTATATTACCAACAATAAACATTATTTGCAATAAAAGATACTCGTAATATTTCACTACTTGCAAACCAAACAATGAAATTTTGCAAAATAAATGAAGATTACCCCGCTATCTTATATTACTCCGATCCAAACACATTGTTATTAATGAATTTTTTTTTGGCAAAAATACCCTTATTTTGAAATTAATTTACAAATATATTCATGGACAATTTTATCCTTATATACAAATTTTTTAGGACATAAATACCATTGGCTTTAAAAAAATTACCTAAGCATGGTGGCTAGATCTAGTCGACCTTGCGTCAATAAGGTCGTTTCACGGCCAAAGATGTGGCCATGAATGGGCCAGATCTGTGGTCGTTTCCAGCCATGGATCACAAATCCATTGCTAGAAAAGGCTTTACCGACACAAGGTCGGCCAAATTCAGCCAGTCGTGCACCATTTCGACAACTGCTGGTGGCGGCCGATGGTGGCGGCTAGTTGCCGACAGTGGTTTAGGGTGGGTGAAGGTGATTTTGTTACAAATTAAAGTTTTATATGGCTAGGGTGTTTTAGTAAATTTTCAAATGTATGGGGTTAAAAGCGATTCAAATAATAATAATAAAAATAATATTATATTAATATTTAAAAAAAAGGGCAATTTAGTAATTATATAATATACCCATTAATTTATCCTCCTAGCCAAACATATAAATATAACATACCCACCAATTTATTCCAAACTAACCAAATATATTTCTCTAAACATTCATAATTTCTTTAAGGTAATCTATCGTTACATTAATATAACATTCCTAATAATAGAATATTCTCTGAATCAAATACACCCTTAAAGCATCAGTTGATAAAAAAATTAATGATGGCAACGATGCACCTTGGCTTGCCATCATTTAACAGTGGAACTCAATGTCCACAATCCACGTGTGACATTAAGTATTGGGTGAGAACTGTGAAATAGAGTTTTTCAAATAGAGTTTCTTTAAGTAAATTTCATTAAAAAAAAAAAAAAAAAACAATTTTAATATGAAAGGGTCAAACTATTTTAACAAAAAAATTTGACACATATTGTCTATTGATTCATGACAATCCAATGATTTAAAAATTACTTAGTTGATATTAAAAATTAATTAACTCTAACTTAATAAAAGAGCTTATAAAAAA